GATGCGCATGTGTCAGACGTACCATTGACGTCACACACTTGAGTCGTCCTCCACCCTCTGTGCTGATTTATCCCGCAATCGTGGCGCTAAGTAGCTGCACGCACTCGACAGCTAACCATCAGTAGTCATTCCCATTGCAGCTTCTCGTGCGGTCAGTGACACGGTGAGGCTTTCCGCGAGTGACGAAAGTAGGTTTGATCATCTGACCCCGCACAGCGCCTGCCTTTCTCAGACACGCATATGTACATCCAACACCGCGGCCAGCGTATGACAGGGAGCCGAGCCGAAGGGGTCTGTGTTGGTGAGGTTGTTCGGCCTCGGCGATCACGATCTCACGATGGATGGACCCTCCACGCTGATCCATGGGACAGTGGCGCGCCAACCGACAATTTAGTCCCCGCAGGGTCCTTCTCTACTTCCCTTCGGTGTCCTTTGGACTGGTACTCCGAGACAGAACCAACAAAGTCCGCCGAATAGTAGCTAGCTGCGCCATGGGTATGCCAGGCGTGGGATGCTCATGTACCTGGACCTAGGTAAAGGTAAAGGTTGCTTCGGCATGAGATATCCGGAACCATCGGCATCCGGTGGAGAAGACTCGGGCTACTCGGCCGCGGTATCTTTCGAGGATCACAAAAGTGCAAGCTTCACATAGGCGTTGCATGATATGAGCGGAGATCTCTTCGGCGCACTGTTCCGGCATCGCGTCTTGGACACATATCTGATCACAGTGCCTAAGAAGCCAACTCAAGTTAGTATGGGACACTGGCGTCAGAGGTACATTACATACGAGATATGTACCTATGGACTTGGCGACATCCCATGCTGATAGCATTTGGTGGCTGTGTGTAGTCTTGTCCGTCCCCCGCTATACGCCAGGATGTAGGCCGTGGAGAATGTGGTACAAGCCCCAGTCTTCACTGACAAGTCCAACTCTTGTCGAACCTTATCGAGACCTACTTGCCCTCCCCAGCACGTTTGACGCCTCCTGCTACATCGTTTGCACCTTTTTCAATGCTCGTGGATACATCGGCAAGGCCTCGTGCAACCGGCCGACCGGCACTGCCTGTGGCGCCCTCGACCTAAGCAAAGGCGCTCAGAGTCAGTATATTTTCATTTGTAGTTAGTACAGATCAATCTACCGTTTCGCCCAAGCCTCGTCCAACCGCGCCAACAACCCCTCCTAGAGTGTTTGTAACGCCGCCAACCGTATTGCCTACAGTGGACGTGACAAACTTGACGCCAGAAGTTACACCGCTTTCTTGCTGGCCGATAGGCATGTTGACGATTGGTCTTGGAGGTTGGTGGGTTGTTTGTTTGTTTCAGGGTGGTCGCGATGCTAGTTCCCGAAGATAGTAAAGTTTGTTAGATGCCGGCTAAGTGGTAGTGAGCTTTGGTGATATCCTGTAGCGTCTGTGCTGCGATGGTGCATTTATGATCCACGGATTTAGTGACGTCATGGGGCTTCGCAACAGCAGACGCGCGGTGCACGTTGGAAATCCTGCATCGTGCAACCGCAAACCTCGTCCTCGTGATCCCAGGCATGATCGCGACTCGGCCCGTGTCAGATGGCGTTTGCGTCGTCCAGTTGTCGCCCTCTCCGCATTATCTCGCGCAAGTACCAGCTGCGGACGCGGCAGCCACAGGCGTTGTCCGGGGAAGTTTCACGAACTCCTCATTGGCATAGTTCCCTCCTCGGCATCTGCATCAGAGATGACTGGCGTTGCATACACGATCGCCATCGACTGGCGCGACCATGGATCTCCTTGTTGTCCTGACAGCAGCTGGCAATCCCATCTTGACGCATGACACCAGGAAAATTTTCCAAAGTTCAGCTTCTTGCGATGGCATTCCGCGCGAGCAGGACCGATGCACAGCACCTCGAGAAGGTTTTCAGAGAAGCTGCGACGAGCTCGGTGGCCGAGTGCTCCTAGATCCAGATGCGCAGGACGCCTCGGCAGGCCGCAAGCCACGGAACGCGAGCGCAGAGGCTTGTTCGAATATCATTGGCAGCACACCGTTGTGGCCTGAACCTAAGGCAGCCATATCGTAGAGATACACAAGGCTGTCGCATTACTTGCGGCCGACACTCGCAACCGGCATCATGTTCTCTCCGACTGTAGGGCCTCATCGGGGCATACGGACGAGAAGCATGCGCGCATGCTCTCAGGCAACCCCTCTCGCTGCGAACATATGATGAACTGATTTCCCCCCAAGAGGTTCGATACTTACCTGTAGCTCGTCAAAGCTCGCCTACACTTCGATACACCCAGAAACAACGCCAATACACGATCGAACCACCTACGAATCGCGCGCCAAACGTTCGAGATGACGTCCTTGTTCCCACATCCTCCTTACGCCGAAGACCAGCCGTATGCGCGCAGTATCCTATACCTGCATGTCATGCGCGCTTCAGCCATGTCATTTTCCTTCTTTTCAATCCTCCAGTTTCCAGCCTCTATCATCGCAGCACGATACCGTAATTCCCCGATCGATTACGCTACAATCCTATCTCGTACGCTCAAGACTGCCGGTCGCGGCCTCGTTCTAGGAACAGCAGCTGGCGCGATCATGACATGGGGCCGCATGAGAGGCCGAGAGGAAATAGAGTGGAAAGATAGGTCATGGCGGATACTGGAGAATCATGGCGAAGTGAAAACAGATTGGGTCACACTTGGCGCGGCTGGGACCGGTGCTGCTGGGGCTCTGATCGCTGCACGGAGCGGCCGGGTGCCGATAACTGTTGGGAGTGCCATGCTGGGAGGAGCTGGTGTTGGTATGGGCACTGGAGTGCTGTACATGATCGCGTCATTCGCATCGGGGAGGAAGCCTGCTTGACGACGGGAGATGCGAAACTGGACCATGCCTCTGGTATAGAGTTGACCCACGACGAGCTCTTGGTAACGCCGAAGGCTATATGCTTGCATGCTACCGTCCAGTCTGGGTCGCGCTCAACATTTCCTGGTACTGGTATTCGGGCCATTTGAAGCTGCCACGCGGACCCTAGACCTTCGCGCCGCCCCGACACATGGCCACAACTGTAATATATCTGCTTATCAAAGCAACGATTCTGGACGGTCGAGTCATCGCAAGTTCAATTGTACATCTTTCTAGCAGTGCAACATTGTTGAGAAGTCACGCTTGCTGTCTTTCGCTGCGCAGCGTCTAGTGAAATCTCTAAGTTGCTGGACAGATCGGTTTTATGCATCTCGGGGAAAAGAGAACCACTGATGAACTGCGTCAAAAGGAAATCGTGTATGCGACATCGTGCGTTTCGGCGGCCAACGTTGCGCTAACCTCAAATAATTTTGAGGCTCCAACCTTCTACCGTGCTACGCAATCTACGAGCTCCGCTCCACGGTCTTATCTTTTTATATTTTTGCTTGTTTGCGTATCTGCGAGATTGACTGTTCACACATGACGGTGATGTGGTTTCACGCGTCATTGGCACCTTCTCTTTACGCGCAGGCGAACGACCTCGGTCTGACCTACTACCAGATGCAAACCTCAGGCCGTTGCACTTCTGGATGCGATACAGTGCGCCCATCAAGCTATTCCGCCCGCCGATGACCTCATCCGAGCAGGCTTCTTGTAGGTAGCCCAATATACGAGCGCACAGATCGCCGGCAGTTTCCCGTCTGATCTTGTTCGTCCGACTTCCGCTGTCGCAATGCTATTAAATGAAGGATACAGTATGACGATCCCAAGTGGGCACTGGGCGGAACGTCAGTGTGACCCTCTGAAACGGTCTTGGGCCGAGTGACCTCCGCCGTCGCATCGAGGGCGCGTTACCCAAAGCCGTTGTTCTCGAAACATCCCCGGAACGTGATACCTGTTGAACACGCTTGAGCTCCTACAATCTCCACGCATTCACGCAGACTGCTCCACCACGCAGCCTTTACCTCCGAGATGATATTGTCAGAATTGCGCCGTCGCCGTATTCGATTCTTTCGCTTGCAGACATCCCCACAGTCGTGCTGTCCGCTGCTTCGCATTCACTATATCTAACGCTCTCCATTGGGTCTTGCCCTTTAAGCGGCGGCCCCAGATTCGCTGCGACAGGGATCGGTTACTAGACACGCTGTGATCGGTCCAGGTTCCAGGATGAATACGTTACACCAAGTCCTCCGTACTAGCGCTGGCGGATGCCCACTTGCGAAAGAACAATTGGCGCCTGCACACAACACCCGCTTCTCATGTCTCTGACAGCCACGAACCGGACCGCGCAACAGGCCCCGTTGGACGTGTTCGGCTGCACAGTCTCCGAGATGTTGGAAGCCAGCCATCTCTCATGTAGTGCGCTGTTCGTGTAAGAGAATTAATTGAGAGGCGGCAAGTGCGATATCCAGACCGTCGCACCATGGAGTACGACCGGCTTCTATAGCGATGACAAGCCTTTTGAGTGGCATGTGTAAAGTGCAGCCAGCAAGCACATCCACGTGAGGGCGACCGACGGGAGACTAGACCGTTTGGCAAATAGAAGGGCCTCTGCTTAACTTGTTTCTGTAAGTGTTAATATGCAGTAAGTAGCAAATTGCGGGGGACAGTCTTGGGAGACACCCGGCTGTGCCTGCCTTGGGCGCGCGTAAGGGGACAAGGGTTTCGCAGCCCTTGACCTTGTTCCGGGTTTATATGAGGAAGCCCACCCACCAGCAGGGCGAGATGTGGTTTTCGCGATTTCTTCAGGTTTCTGAGAGTAGGTCGTCGAGATGCCTACCTATCCTCTTCAACTCACCTGCCTGGGGGTGATCTACGGCACTCCCCTTCTGGCTTCGATATTCGTTATTCTGAGGATATACACACGGCGGAAGCTGAACTTACGGTTAAGCTGGGGTATGGCGTTCAACATTCCTTGCGCAAACCGTACTGACGTGCTTGTACAGATGACTGGCTTATCATACTTCCGTTACTGCTTTCCATAGCCCTCATAGGGCCTTCACATCGACGTACGTACTGATGTAAGCGCCGACACTGGCTCTTACTGACCCTGAACAGATGTCAAGATGTGGCATGTTGGCGTACATATCTGGGAGGTGCCGCCGAATGAGATAGAACCAAACTATGACGAGTACTATGCCGTATGTCTAGTCTTACCGTGCTACGAAGAGATAACTAACAGCAGCAGGTTGTCATGGCGTTCAACCTCTTGAACATCCCCATACTACCGCTCGTCAAAGCGTCCATCATCCTTCTCCTCCTTCGGGCCGGTTCCGTTATTGAATGGCTCAAGCGAGTGCTCTATGCCATCTTGGTCTTCACTGTTGGAAGCGCATTGATACCATGGTTCTTGTACATCTTCATCTGTCCACCTCTAACTGGAAACACTTGGAAGCCGAGGACTTTCGGCAACCTGCATTGCATGGGCAGACACAAAATGGGAGAAATGTTGATCTGGGTCACATGCGCCAATCTACTCACCGATGTTCTGATCCTCCCGATACCTTTCATCATCGTGCGAAGGATGATGAGTGCTCGGTTGAGGTCCCGTTTGGTGGTATTGGTGGTGTTTACATGCAGTCTCGCGTAAGTCACACTGACCTAGTATGCGAGGATAATAGCTGACCTCTCCACAGTGTTACTGCCATCGGCGCGGCAAAGATCTACTTATCGTATCGCGACCGCCTCTACACTCTGTTCAACCCCGATTGGACCTACCCGATCGACTACTGCATCAACCACATTGAGAACAACGTAGCAATCATCGTAGCCAACATACCGATCCTACGCGGCCTCGTCACACGATGGATCTTCAACTTCCGCACCAAAGCGACGCCCATTGATCGCGAGTTTCGTGGTGATTGGCAACAGCAACAGCAACAACAACAACAACAACCGAGAAAGTCGGACGCTTCAGACTTCAGCCGCTACACAAGAAAGAACCGCGTGGTACAGAAGATCCTCCCCTGCATCCAGGATGATTTTTCCAGCAGCCTGGCATCGCGCTCCAAAGGCGACCTCAGCAGTAAGGTGGACTGCCGGCCAGATTTCCCACCTCGAATCTGCACCACAGGCGAACAGCGCTACCAGAAACGAAGCTACTTTCCCCGATCGCGAAGGAATAGCTTGGATCGGTATAGCACGGCCGACTCCTGCGAGAAAGGTGACATATTAGAGACGGTTAGGAGTGTGGGTAGTTTGGGTTCTGCGCCAACGCTCGTGGAGAGCAAAGATGCGTACACAGAGTGGAAAAGCATGGACAGCCCAACGCTGAGCCCCACAGCGAGGTTCTCTACGCAGACATTGTGCCCCATTGCGCCGTTGACGCCGGCGAGGTTGCGGGGGATTGAAGATGATGAGGTTGATGATGAGATATACCCATACCCGAGAGCATTATGATACCATAGCGAATGAACAATATACGATGAATCTTGATATCTGTAACGTTTCGCCGTGCTCAGGTTCAAAACTCAGCTACACATTCTCATCAACAATCTTGCAAAACTGCAAGACACCACAAACCCAACCCGCCCAAACAACGACCCGAAAAACTCTCACCCTCCTCGACCCAACCCCAGACCCCTTCATGTCGGCAGTCACAAATCTGGTACGTACCTACCTTTACGCACACCCAAGTCCCGTACGCCCTATCCGAGTGGCGGGTTTCCGTTGTCTCCAATTTCAGTAAAGTTACGTTAGCCAGCCCCCAGCATCCAACCACACCACGGCGGCGCTCAGGCCCGTTTGTCCGCAGGGGTGCGCATGGCGAGCGATGGATCTGGGTATAACCGTCCAACCCGTCATGGTGTGGTACTTGCCTTGTCAAGACGCAATCCGAGCCGTTCCTTTGCCGCAGGGGTGGTCGAGTTGCTGATCATGCTGTCTGTGCGTCAGCGTGTCTCGTGTCGTGTCGTGTGTTGCGACGTGGGCGAGGGGTGGAAGGTGATCGCGGGTGGCGGGGTTGACTGGGATGGATGGATGGCTTGAGTGCGTTGCGATGGATTGCAATCGGTTTTCGCGCTTCTTGTCTACGTGATGAATGTATTCGTGGAATGTGCTGCACCGTGAGATTCTTGATCCCAGGCCTATACAACAAGGTCGTCTCCTTCACATACCCAGATACCCTACAGCCAAGGCAATCCAGACTCCAACGACCCCAAACCCAATTCCCGCATCCCAATCTCCGTTACACAGGATTCGCGGGTCCAATCTAGAGTTTTAGTCCCACAATCCCCTCGCCTTCGCAACGGCGGGAAGCGCATTCGGTTTCTCGTTGCTTATTCCTCATTACCCAGATCGCGCGGAAACCTTACTTGAAGCAGCAACTGTCGTCCGACTGGCAAAGCTATTACGCACCTCCACCCCCATCGAGGCACGGAATCCACAACTGGGGCATCGCCGAGGCCTTGGGCGGAGAAAGAAGAAAAACAAGAGTTGAGTGCCTGGGCGAAATCTCTCAGCAAGCGCGTACTCTCATTTCACGCGTTGTGTTGTGCGATGATGCACGCGACGGAAAGGATCTTGCTGCGCGTAAGCGAGGGGTAGGAAGGCACGAAAGGTAGGTGTTTGTATCCTCCAGTCAACGTCCTCCTCGCACCTCCCTCACGCGCACCCTATACTTCACCCTCGCACCACACACAAACCTCCTCGTCTACACCTACCATCCAGACCAGCCATCCCCTTGCCCTATGAGTGCCAAAGCCCCACCCCTTCATCGCCCTATTTCCTTTTCCCCCATCCCTCCATCCAGCATCCTCCGTAACTCGTGACATTTGCCCACCCGCCCAGCATTAGTACACCCTATTAGTCCAGTCCAGCCATATCCATGTAATATATCAGATTTTCGTTAGCGCCCGCCCGGCTCAATATGGATAATCTCCCCTCTTCGGTGCGGAGCGAAGCGGTCGCTCGCGCATCGCCGGCTGGCGGGGGTAAGTACGTGTGATGTGATTTTCAAGAATGGGCGGGAAAGATCTTGTTCGGATGTCATTTGCCTAAATGGATATGCAGGGTTTGGAGGATGTGGTGATCGGTAGGTGAGGGTGGGAAGGCGGGTTCTTACTCATCTGTGTTTCTTGAGGTAAGGGCGTATCTGGGAGGTGCACTGTGGGGTTTATGATGAGCGTTTGGGGACGAAGGGGATCTGGGTGTGGCGGTATGGCGTGCGCTCGTGATAGGATGGCTTTTGAATATTGGCTAGATCGGATGCTGTGAGTGGTCTCTTGACTTCTTTAAGGACGTTTAATGCCTTGGACTTTTCGGTTTCCACCAACCATTCTAGCTGCTTCATTGCACCACCAGCCATGTCTCATGATTTCTTCCTGTTGAGTTCACGCCACAATGTGGGGTTCTTGAGCGAGTGTAGAGTGGCTTGTCATTGAAGGCGTAAATGTTTTGCCGTACAGCGTTGCAATGAACGCCCCTGAACCTTTCTATGCAAAGCCTTCGTCTTGCTAGCATACAGGTTGACTCCTTCTGGACCCAAGAAGAGGTAAGGAGAAGAAAGACGGTACAGTCGTAGTAGCATCACCGGCAATTCCGGCACTGAAGACGTTATGAAGAGATTGTCGCGCCGCTCGTGGCGCAACATGCAATCCATTTTGATGCGAATATTTTATTGATAGGGTATCCATGCATGACAAACAACCACCATCTGACAAGGCTTGCCAACCAGCATCCAAAGATGAGCGGACACAAGAGAAATGAGAAAAGAACGTGACGATCGTGAAAGAGGGCTGCCAAAAGCGAAGGGTGACGCACGGCATCGGCGTCACCGATGCTATATCGATATTAAAGCTAGTATGCCAGCGGCGAAGAAAGCCATAGTAGGGGAGCCAGACATGAGGCTCTGGGCGGCGGAAGCCTCGCCAGCCAGCACTTTGTCGTCATTACGGATGCAGTTTGTCTTGGCTGTAATTTCCGCGGGACAGACTACGCGTTTGAAGTTCGCACTGTGTGACGTTAGTCTATATAATTTGTGTAGCCTGCGGATCGAGATGAGGGCATGTTTACCTAGGGTACGATGCATCCTTGAACCAATCAAAGCGCCATTCGCAACCGGCTCTCAGGTTCTCGGGTAGCTTTTGGCAGTCTTCGGTGGAGCTGACACCCATCATGAGCTCACCGAAGACGCTTTGGTCCACGCCATACTGCTGGGCGCATGCATTTGTCGATGTTGTGTTACCGCCAGGAATCTAGATAGTTCAGCTTTGCGACCATGATAATGGATGTTCATTGAAGGCTTACTGCAAGTGAAAACCGGTTTCGGTCGGTTACATCGTAGGCGGTATTCGAGGCTTGAACAATCATGCTCTTGCCGATCAGAGGCTCACTCGTAAAGTCGAGCTGGTAGCATGCGCAGCACCAGGCGCCCTCTATACCTCCGTGAGTAAGTTCGGGTAGAATAAAGGCACCGGCATAGCCATATGAAACAGTGTCGTTGATGGCCCATGGCTGCTGGCTGGAGCACTGAAACGCGGAACCGCCGTTACAACCAGTGCCGGCAGCATCGTCCGTGGGCTTGTCGTCGGCCGTACACGATTCTACCGGACTCGAGAAATCCGCTTTGCCGTTCCAACCACATGATGGCTTACAGCAGTCCCAGAAACGAGATGTGACGGCCTCTCCAGTATAGTTGAGATGTGCGCATCGTGCAAAGACCGCGAAGAGCTCGACGGCAAGGGCGATATTGCGGAGATGTTGCGGCATCATTGCGGAATGAGTGATCTGAAGTCGAAGTAGAAACCGAATGGCATGGTTTGTTAGCCAGAGTGATCCGCGCGCAGTGCCAGGAAATTGTATTTGAAGGATACTGAAAAAGAGGGGTCCCTTCTTTAGTCCGGCTGCAAGGAGAGATTAAACTGTTTTCGATACTCGAGGCCGAGAACCATCATGCTGTGCACCGTGCAGGGGTGGGCGGAGCTTGGGTACTGAAACGGTACCCGGGGTAGTGGCATCTGAGAGGTCAGAGAGCCGCTGTCACAGTTCCCACACGCTGTCAACCTACCCGATGCCTTGACTTGCATTGTCTGGCCTTATAGATTGCCCCTGTCATTGCCTCGTGGTGCATTTTCCCCACACTCTGCACGCAACGTTGTATCGCTCCCCGCAATTCGGCAATCGCGACATCTGCTCGCAAGGTCGCGTAAATGAATGCCGGGAAGGACGCGACAAAACCGAGGAACTTGTACAGCTGGGTTGCCCGTTGTTGTGCTTTATGCTCGCTCTCGTGTTAGACGAGAAGGTTTGCCCAATGTCTCACGCTCCGCCCTGCCCCCCTTCAGGGCTCATCTCGGCTATTCTCGCGACCGTTCAAAACGAACTTCTCCGCTTCTTGAGCTGCAACCGTTCACACCGCACTGCCGTGTGACGCAACCTTGAAGGCTGATAATACTCCGGGCGCTCGGTTCACGTGGCCTCAAAGAGGTTGAGCACCGTAGCTGAATAGGGAAGCAGATGCACCCGATTGGCCGCAACTTCAATATCGCTACCAGACTAGAGGCCATACTGAAGCACGCAGTAACCGTTTTGCTAGGATGCTTTGAACTTTGTGTAAACAGGTTGCTAGCATCGCTCCGGCTGAATCGACGTCGTCAGCATAGTCACTGGTCATGCGTAATAGCGCGTTTGTCATATAGCAGTCGCCATCGCCAACATCGCTAGACGGTGTTCGCAGTTTCGCGATTAGGAAAGGACCGAAGTACGTGGCATAAGTATGGACCGGATGTTTGGTTGAGAGGGCAAGGCATGAACGTCTTCCATGTCTACTATCTGCCAAGCCACCGATACACGAACTCTGCCCCACCCGGCGTTCGCTCAAGTCTCCAAAGTCCACTCTGCTGAGACAGCAAACGCTCTGGAACTTGGATACGAGTTGCCGCCTGGGCAGCTCTTACACCCCTGGGCTGGATTCCCGGCGATTGCCGTCGAGATGTGCGCGGTGGATTTTGAAATCATTATGTTAATTCACCGCTACTAATACATCGTTAACAAGCGTACATGCTCGTAATACCTCCGTAGTTATGCAAATTGTGCATATGCTCCTCAACGCCGTCAAAATATGCTCGTCACGCGTAGAGTCTCGTGTCTGTTCTCCGTCTCTCATACTCTAGTCGAGCGCCGGGATGCGCTCAATCACTTCTCAGCATGCTCTCCACCAAATCACCCAACGGTCCCCAGAAGTCCTTGCTCCCACTTGCCAGCCCATGCTCGTCTATGAACAGCACATAGTGCTTGAAGCTGGTGTTGAGATGAGGCTCCAGGCCCAACTCGATGATGACGGGGTAGTGGTGGCAGTAGATATGTGCGTAGACGCGGTATAGACGCTTGAACATATTCCTGATGAGCGCTGGAAATGTCTTGGGGAAGGGAACGCCGATGCGCGAGGGAAACATGGACTC